TAAGACTTAGTAGCTGTGTGATTCCTCGAGTTTCTTCTATTTCTAATCTACAAGTTATGGATGATAAATACCCATTTCAAGGGGGTGCTAAAAGGATTAAATGAGAAAATGCATATAATGGGACATACTAGGTACATGATGAAGGAGATGGGAACAGCCACTTCTTCCTATGCCTGAGAATGCTGTTAAAATGCAGATTCTGGTTCAGTAGGCCTTGGGTGCAGCCTGAGCCCCAGAATTTCCTACAAGTCCCCAGGTGATATCCATGATGTTTCTCAAGGGACTGTGCTTTCATTAGCAAGGTCTTAGAGATTATTTTGGTTTTGTTTTTATCTTTGAGAAACTGATGCTGGAGGTGAATCTTAAAAAATGAATAGATACCATCCAAGAAGACAACGGAAGAAAGAAGAGTATTCCAGAAGGATTAGTGGAAGTACAGGGCTTGCGAGTAGCATCAGAGCATGGGAGTATGAGGAGCCTATTGAGTGAACTTGGGAAGAGGAGTCTTGAATAAGAGAGGGTAGCTGGTGCAGTGGCTTGTGCCTATAGTCTCTGCTACTCAGGAGGCTGAAGCAGGAGGATTGCTTGAGTTCAGGAGTCTGGGCTGTAGTGCACTATGCCAATGGGTGTCTGCAGTAAGGTCAGCATCAATACGGTAATGTCCCAGGAGTAGGGGACCACCAGGTTGCCTAAGGTGGGTGAACTGGCCCCAATTCAAAATGGAGCACGTCAAAACTCTCATGCTGATCAGTACTGGGATTGCACCTGTGAATAGCCACCGCACTCCAGTTTGGGCAACTCAGAGAGACTTTGTCTCTTAACAAAATAATAAGAAAAAGAGTGAGAGAGACATGTAAGATATGGGGTCTTCCATGCCTTGCCAAGGAGTTATTTATTCGATAGGAAATCAGGGACCCACAGAAGGATTTAAGATGTGGATGATTTGATCAGCTGTGAGATTCTGAAATATTACCCTGGAAACAGTAGGAGGACAGGTGGGGTGGGAGGGTGATCAGAGTCAGGGGGGTGGTATACTAGGTGAGATAGAATGAGTATAAGCCGATGCAGCAATGGCAGTATGGTCTGAGAGAAAGCAATGCCTGTAGGAGATGTCAGGATATAGAACTGACAAAACAAAAGGTGGGCATGTATTAGATATGGAAATAAAAAATGAAGTTTAAACTTCCTGCTAGGCTTCTGATTTTGGTGGCTGGGTAGAAGATAACATCACTCTCGTAGCAAGTAAGAAGGAAGAAAAGTAATTTAGGAGGAAGAGAAGAATTTGTGGAAAAGAAAATGAGTTGAGTTTGGAAATATTTTGAGTTTGTGCAACATCCAAATAGACGTGTCTAATAACAAAGTTGGAGGTACAGAACAGTTTGGGAGCTGTCTGTGTATATTGCAGTAGAAGGAGTCATGGAGATTGGTTCTGTCACTCAGGGAGAATAGTTGAGAGAGATGCAAGAGAAGACAAGAGATCATGCAAACCAACATGAGGGTTGAGCAGAGGAAGAGAAACCCTTGAAAGAGATTGAAGAGAAATGATTAGAAACAAGCAGAATCAGGAAGAAATGCTGTCAGAAAAGCCTAGGGAGATGAGACTTTCTAGAAAAAATTAATCAGCTGTGTCAAATGCAGTGAAGAGGTCAAGTAAATAAGGACCGAACATGAGGAATTGGTGATATTTGTCAGAGTAGTATCAGTGGAATAATGTAGCGAGATGCCAGATTATGGTGGGTTAAAAATGAATGGACGATAAGGAAGCAGAGATAGTCAATGTAGAATGTTCATTCTAGCAACTTGTCTATAATGAGAAAATTTTAATAACTAGTATCCAGAAATAGTCCCAGGATTGAGTGTTTCATTTAATTAATTAATTCAATCATTCATTCATTTGTTGTTCTGAGCATATTTGTGGCTGCCGGGAAGGAGTGAGTAAAGAGGAAACATTTAAAAATAGGTCAAGGGAGTGACTAAGAGAACAATGCCCAGGAGAAGTGGCACAAATGCATTTGAGACTGTAGGAAATAAGGTGGACCTGGGCGCTTGTGCAGATAGAGGGGTTCCTAGATGTAGGGATGGATATCACACACTTGGCAGCTCAAATTTATCATGTAACATGGAAGGCAGGATCATTCGCTGGGCACTAAATGTGGAATTGCACCTAGAGATAAACTGTATAATGAGGCCTTGGTGGTTTTCTTCAGCAGTTCCTGACCCCTCTGCTCATATTTTCTTTGAGATTGTCCGCAAACCTGTTGATGCTACCTCAAAAAAATAAAGCACGTGTATTTCACAAATAGAGCATCCTCTGATATACCAAACTTTGGAATTCCAAACAGCAAGCTGGCCTTCTTCTCTCCACACTCCATTCATCTGGTTTTCCAGTTGACAAGAGGGGATAGAGACAGAAAGATGGATGATGTGTGTGCATGTATGTATGTTGCACTCTTTAGGGGTGATGATATCTATAGGCCCATCAAAGAAATCTCCCAAGGTTTCAGAATGAAAAATTTGAAAATTGCTGCTTCTATTCATACAGAAATATTACTTAGTGCATTTTATCTCCAAACTTTTGAATCCAAATAGCTTTATGTGCCAAAATTCTTGTGTTCATTTTGCCTAGATAATCCTGAGTCCTCGACGTCCACTCCAGCTCTCAGCTGAAAGTTATTCAACAATTAACTCACTGAATATAGGAGGCTAATGGTCTTTGGTGACTAAGAGGGCAACAGGCCACTAGCTTTCATTTCAGGCTTCCGTCTTGAGGCCATCTCTGAATTCTGAAGGTCAACTGCAAGTAGAGACACAAATCAGCCAGCTCATAAATCCTTGAGGTGAAAGGAAGAGGAGGATGGGGAGAAGAAAAGCAGTTTAGAAAATGAAAGTTATAATTCTATTTTGAATTACATCAACCGGTAGAAAACATTATTTCAAAAATTTTTGGATGAGTTAAAAAAAATCTCTGTAATAACCAATTCTCAACTCAACTACTTTAATATGTATTTTATTAGTTCAAGTATTCCCTCTGCTAATCTTACATTTTCCCAACTTCTTTTCCAAAATATTTCTTAAATACTAAACACTGCAGTTTTTTTCAACATACACAGGCATCCAATTCCTGAATTTGCCTGAAATACACACCATGAAGCTGATCAGTGGCCTAGAAAGGTGGTGCATGAACCCAGTAAACAGTTTAGAAAGTGGTCGTGCAATGGTTTTGTCTCCAAGTCAAGCTCTGTAACATTCCTGACTCCCTGAAAAATACCAGTGTCCAGTATTTTGACGCACATCCAAGAATGTATTCAGGATAATGGCTAAGGGCATAGATACCATGTTAAAGAATGTACCATGTACAAAGAATGTTTGAGAGAACAAAAACTATTTAATCTAGTACTTGAGGAAACATGAGAGTTGGCTGTATTAGTATACTTTCTTATGCAAGTGAAAGATGCCAGTTCAAAATAGCTTAAGGAAAAAGCAGATGTGTTGGTTTTGATAATTCAAAGTCCAGTCAAGGATCCTGGATTAGGACAATAGCTGGAACCAGGAGCTCCAACTGTGTCATCAGAACTTTGTCTTTCCTTCTCCATCTCTTGGTTCAACCCTTCTCTGTGTTGACTTTCTTCTCAGCCAGCTTTCCTTCTTGCTCGCACAATGTGATGCTTACCTCTCACGCTTGCAGAAACTCTACTGATAAAAGGAAACTTCCAACATTTTCAACAAAAGTCCTGGACTCAATGCCTCTAAATGGCTTGGCTTTGGCCAAATCCCTACCCCAAAGACTGCAGCCTCTAAGACTCTATGAGTCTCCAAGAAGAAAAAAAAAACAATTCTGTGCTATTCTCACAAGACAGGGAGTGAATGCCAGGCAGGCAAAGCAACAGATACCCTGCACTGCCTTCAGGTATGAGGTGGGCACCCATATGGATGAGGAGATAAACTTCTGTGAGGCTCCAGAAAGGAGAAGTAGACCCTCTCTGCATGAAACTTACCTGAAAGCAGATTTCAGCTCACTCCCAAAAGGGACCTTCACACAGAACCATTAGCCGTTGAAGCAGCCTGCCTCAGGGTGTGGCAAGACACAGGTCCTTCCGCGTGATCAGGTCCGGGCCAGATGGGCAGCTGTGAGCCATGCTGGCAAGGAATTCCTGCATTAGACAGAGCTTTACCTACATGACCTAGAAGGTCACTTTTGACTCTACAATTCTATTATCCTTGTTAATTTCCACAATTTAATTTGCAGTACAGGATAAACAAACCAACCTAATTTGATCTGGAACTTCTGCAGGCTATCATAGGTCATTTAATCTAAAACACATGGCTCTAGCCATTACTATGTTTTCTGAAGTCATCTAACAGACCTTGTCCCTAACAAGGTCTCCATGTTATTAGTTTCACTCATGGCTTTTTCCAGCCTCCTGCTTATTCCACAATTGCCTTTCATTTTCCTTTAGACGGGGGTGGCAGGAGCATGAAAGCATTTTCTTCTTTCTGACTTTCTCCTCTTAAATCTTACAGTGAGTCCCTATTAAAACTACACCGCTTACAATTTTACCCCCCGATTTGGCTTTTACTTTGCAGGCTTGAGAGTCTATGAGAAACGGGAGAGAGGGCCATAGATAACCACAGCTCTGAACTCTTAAGGCAAATATTCAAAGTAGGAAGAACGAGGTCTTTAAATTTCATGTTAAAAATTAATTTATAAAGTAAATTTTATATACCGCAACATAGTTAGAATTAGGGTACCCAAACCACTTGAGTCTTACTCATTATGAAATATACACATTTGCATTAAAATTGTATCTTTTATAACATACTTTAAATATATTTAAATAAAGATTATTCTTTCATGGCTGAAAGCACGCCCCACCATACACATACTCTCCTCTGCTTAAACTGGAACAGCCGTGTTACAGAATCTGGCTCACAAATAAACTTTTGTTTTTGCCAGGTTATGTCCGACCTTAATAACTGATGGTATTTCTTGTCTTTTTCAGTGAATGTTGTGTCGATGTTACAGGAATTTTGGGAGAGCAAGCAGCAGCAGAAGGCTGCCTTCCCCAGTGAAGGTGTGGTGGTCTACGAGTCACTGCCAGCACCTGGGCCTCCCTTTGTGAGTTACGTGACCCTCCCAGGGGGAAGCTGTTTTGGCAACTTTCAGGTAAGAAGCCGCCATCAATTTCTCAGTGAAAATTCATTGGATTAAAATAAAGTAAACCCTTTAGTAAAATGGTGAGTTTCCTTAGATAGAGTGAACGAAGTTGTGCCATATCCTGTTACACATACTGGATAATTAATCACATGTCAGCTGGGCGCGGTGGCTCACGCCTGTAATCCTAGCACTCTGGGAGGCCGAGGCAGGCGGATTGCTCAAGGTCAGGAGTTCGAAACTAGCCTGAGCAAGAGTGAAAACCCCGTCTCTACTATAAATAGAAAGAAACTAATTGGCCAACTAATGTATATAGAAAAAAATCAGCCAGGCATGGTGGCGCATGCCTGTAGTCCCAGCTACTTGGGAGGCAGTAGGATTGCTTGAGCCCAGGAGTTTGAGGTTGCTGTGAGCTAGGCTGATGCCATGGCACTCTAGCCTGAGCAACAGAGTGAGACTCTGTCTCTAAAAAAAAAAAAAATTAGTCACATGTCCCAATTTTTTTAAATGGGAATGATTTATGTTAGGATATTCCCTGATATTTCTTTACAGGAAATGAATTTTATAGCACATTGTTTTATTTGCCAGATAGCTGCTTTCTTTTCCCTCGAAATAATCTAGAATAAGATGTAAGGAACAAGGGAATAGTGGCAAAGCTTTTCTCTCAAGATCCTTCCATCAGGTCCCTTCCATCAGTAGAAAGTCTCTGCTGTCTCTGCTGTCATGAATTTTATAATCAAATATTAGTCAATCTACTACACACCAAAGCATGAATCAATAGCAAAAGATCAAGAATCGCAGGACTGGGTTCAGCACCTGTGTTAAGATAAAATTCTGCCTCTGACTATCTGTTATACCCTTAGGAAGCTTATTTAACTTTTCAATCTCCCCAACTTTGAGATGGGGAATAATAATCATGACGTTAGTTGGAAGCCATATAAAGTATACATGCAATGTGTTTACCATGGTATCTGGTACATGGTAGGTATTCCAAGTATTGTTTTTGTAATTATTAAAAAGACTCTTCTAGTTGGTTGAATCTTTATGTTTATGATAGGGTGTACAAGACGGTGCATTTCTAATTGTATGCCTACTCATACAAAAACATTTGCCTATGCTTCTGGCTCTCCAGTATATATAACAAATACTCATTGAGCAACCAGGAAATACAAAGCATTGGGCCAAGTACTAAGGATACGGTTCATACCCTGAGGAAATCAAGGCACAAAAAAAGTTACAGCAATTACATAGGATTATATTTGAGGGTCAATGAAAGTACAGGGGCAGGGACTTCTAAATTTGCCAATCCCCTTTATAAGAACTCCTTTAATACAGCAAATTATCTCTCAATTTTCAATAATTGGCAAAGATGTTTTATTTATTGCTTATGGACACTGGGAAACTCTTAAGCAATCAAGTTTCTCTCTTAGCTTTGACAACTAAGAAGCCCGGAGGCAAATTTTCAGTGTGTCTCTTTATAGCTTAAGGCCACAGATCTTAATGACATATAATTTTTAAGACCTACCTCATACCTGTTGATATTTTTTATACGTCTCCCTTTACTCTCCCTTTGAACTTACTGCCTCACTCATTTATTTTATCCTGTTATCCAGTATATCTGTTTTACATTGTCTCAAATCCCCTGTGGAGTGAGAAAAGGGTATAATTTAATAAACAGACCCACAAACCTGTGCCGCCTAGGGGAAGTCAAAGATGGGTTCACGGGGAATTTAAATGTGAACTGAGACATGCAGTAGAGGTTGTCTCTGCCTGCTGAAAAAGGAAGATGATATTCTCTGCATAGAAAACCACAGCATTTTCAGAATTAGGGGAACATACAGGTCAGTATATGTGACAGAGAACAATGGGAGAAGACATTTAGGCAGTCACATTAAAACATAAGAGATCTTCATGCCTTGCAGGTTTTATTCTATACAAAAGCAGAAACCCTGAAGGATTCTGATCAGAAGAGTGATATATTCAAATATACTTCAGAGAGATTACTCTTCAGAAAGATTACATCAATTACTATCTAATTGATGCTAAAGACTGAGAGGCTGTAGAAAGTGAGCAATGAGAGCCCGTGGAGATGAGCTGCACACACAGCACATTTAGGAGGTAAAAGTGACAGGATTCCATTAGGCTGGGAGTTTAGATGATAACTCGGTTCTGGCTTTGGCCACTGGGTAGGAATACAGGAGGAGGGAATACACAAGGTGGAAGGGCAGGTCTTTGGAAGGGAAGAACAGAGTCAATGTGAAGCGCCTTGAAGCCCCCAGGCAGAGAATGCAAGTGTAGGACCTGAAGCTCAAGAGAGAGTCATGGGTTGAATTTCTACATTTCTGAGCTGAAGCCATGGACACAGGTAGCACTACCAAGTGAGAGCGGGTGGTGTGAGAAGAAGATCCAGGCGTGATCTTGGGAATACTTTTTTGTTTTTGTTTTTTGGGAGAATAAAAGGAATATAGACGAAAAAATATATGGAAACAAAGGGATACGACATCTCAAGGCTGAGGGTGCGGTGAGCGGGGTCAGCCGTAGAACAGAGGTCCAGGGGGAGTGCCCACTGACTGTGATGAGTGTGAACCCTTAATAACCTCACAATAGTAATGGCCATGGAGAGAACAGGATATAAGTCAAGTGCAGGTTAGAGAGTAAGTAAGCAGTGTCCTTCAATAAAGATTTAGAGGGCTACTTCCTACTCTTGTGGTCAGCACTGCTTCTCAAAATAGGACCACCTTGCCTACTGCGCAGTGGGGAGTTGAAGAGAAAGTGGGTTCGGGCCAAGTTGTCGTCAGTGGCTTACAGACATCTAATCTATAATTAAAGCTAATAAGGACAACTAAGACTGAGCCACAATATTCAAACAGTTCTCAAATAGCCTGCAAAGAAGAGCCAGAATCAACAAGATGAACTGCTCTTAGAATGTAAAATAACAAAAATGACAAAAAAAAAACCCTCAAGATTGAATCAAGATGGGGGGGGGGTAGACTTAGCACCTTCCTTGAACTGTTTTCTAATCTAAAATGCCTTAAAATGTCAAAGATGTGTCAAAACAAGCAAATTCACAATAGTGCTAGGCAACAAGAAAGGTTGCATTGAAAGAGATGAATTTTGAGGCAATTATGGGAGATGAAAGTGGAATCAAATTATTAGATGCAAAAATACCACAATCTAAACATTCATAGGAAAAATGTATTAATGCTATGAAAGTAAAGAACTAGAAAAACTCTAGGACCAGATGAGCAAATGCAAAGAGCAGGAGGCAGTCCTTGGGTAATTTTAAGGCTAGTTAAAGCACTGCTTTCAAAACTTTTGACCCATCCGGCCAGTAAGGTATTGCCCTCCCCAACCCTGAACAGTAGTCAGCAGTGGATTTGGACCTATGATGGATGAAAGTGAAATGACTGAACAGCATGATTTGAATGTGGGTCTAGAAGCCTCAGAATGGAGCCTGGTGTAACCCCAGACACCAGTGACAAGGATGACAGGCAAGAGAGGGGGAAGAAAGGCAGCAACTGAGGAAGAGGTTCCCAACCCGGATGTGTCTGTAGGTCTTTTTATAGAGCATGCTAAGGTGAGGTCTGACAGTCAGCCTACCCCCCCACACCCCGCACTCACCCCTGCAGAGCACCAGTCAGCCCTCACATTCAGGGGAGACCCAAAGGGAAACAGACCTACTCAAGCATGGAGGAAGTTTTTACCAGCCACCTAAACTGGTATACTTCTTTGCCCAGGTGTGTCAATGAAATCACCAAACATTTGAGGAAAACCAAATGCATAAGAGGAAAGAGCAAGGCAAGCAAACAAAAGAACAAAATAATTCAAGCAGCACAGAATATGAGAGTATTACAATGGATGTCCTCAGAAAACTTTGAGAGAATATTTATCCCTAAAACAGCTATGAGAAGGGAGCAAACAGGAAACGAGAAAGTTAAATATGATTGCCAAATGAGAACAATAAAATAAAAGAGGAGCAAATAGATGAGTAGACATAGCCAAATTAGTAAAGGATAACAGTTAAAAAAGTAAATCTTCTGGAATTTAGAGCAAAAAGACAAAGAGATGGAAGAAGACAATATAAGAGAATTGGGGACAAATCCATCAGGTTAACATTAATCTAGGAAGAGTTCTACAGGGAGACAAAGGAAATAGAGGGGAGGAAAAAATAACAAAAGCAATTTTCTTCGAAGTTAAGGAAAAACACAAGTTTTCAGATGGAAATGGCCTACCACTTCCCAGGCAGGAAAATAACAAAAGAATCACACAATTCTATGGCTGTATGGGACTTAGGAACAACATTCTGCCTAAAAGGTAGATCAAGGGACTTTTTTTGATACCGAGTTTGTACACTAATCTGTTTTTAAAATTAGAGGAACTTCTGAGGAGCCAATGAAATGGGACAAAAACTGGCAAATTTGGTTCACAAAACCAAAACAGCTCCTTTGAAAAGATAAGGAAGACAAATCTCTGGCATTTCTGATTAAGAAAGAAACTAAGACATATGCCACACTAAGCATGAGAGAGAGGATGCACTCAGGAGTGTAATATGAGAATACTACACAAATCATTAAAATCTTAGATGAAAGTTAGATGATAGGACTACTTTCTGGGAACTCTGTATGATCTTTGCAACTCTTCCATAAGCATAAAAGTATTTTAAAATAAGAAGTAAAAGAAAGTGGGGACTTCAGTGGCTCTCTATCACCTTCTTATTGAAGTCTGAATTTCTTACTCTGGCAATAAAGACTCTACAACTGGCCCAACTTTCTCTCCCAGCTGCTTCTCCTCGATTCCCTCTTCTGACACTTGATGGCTGGACCTGTTCTTCATGCACACCTTGACCTTTCCCGGCCACTCCCACACTTTCACACTGTGATCTACTTAGGAAGTGCTATTGCCACCTTCCCCTCCTGGCTAAATCATGCCCATCTTCCAGGACTCCACACAAACATGACATTTGCCATGAATTTTCTCTGAATCTCCCTACTAGAAATCTCTACCTCCTCTGA